AACTACTCCATTTTGCTTTCAACAGATTAATTTAAGAAATTCATCAAAAAACATAACAAAATTACACCTCTATAGCTTCGTTGTTGCCGCTCATGCAATCATCCTTTTTATTCATTCTTCAAAATAGGAGCTTCTATTTGGAAATTTCTAGAGGTTCCACCACTTTTCCAAAGTTTTCTCAACTCTAATTCAATTTCGGCCATAATCAGGTTCTCACTTTTCGCTTCCAGCATCTTCTTGTCAAGAAGCTTTCAGTATAGAATCAATGTTTGCATCTATAAAACGTCAAATAGCTGAATCCAACGACGTTTTTTACAGGTGTTTGCCAACTTGTTGCTATTGGTGGGATCGGCGGGGACGTAGCTTGCCAGACAACTGAGAGGGATCCCCACGTGTACGGCCAATAACTCATTAAAAGACTTGCAGGTTCACACAACAGGAAACGAGTTTGTTCTAATCAACGTAGATGAAGTTGGAAGAGTAAGTCAAAAAAAATTTCTTAAATTTTTCAAAATCTCAATTGGTTACCTCTGTTTGCCCTAATTATCTTCTCGGTTTTGGTTTTCTTTTATCTAGATTTATGCCTCTGGATAACTTAATTTCAGTTCTTGGTATCAAAAATTTGGTTTCAAGATGGAAAGCTCAATCTTATCTGTATTAGTTTGTCGGTGGCTTATACTGTAATATAATAATTTATCTCTTTTAACAATTAGAAGCGGCTATCATCTCCATTCTAGTTTTGAGTTTATCCGTATCTCAAATGTTACTATTTGATGTTCCTATATCATCCATCTTGTTATCATTCTTGGATAAAAACTTATTTTCTTATTTGTATTTTAATCATGTATAAATTCAAACCACACATTAAAAAAAACCAAAAAACACCTTTAATATTATAATAATCTTAGTAATAATAAAGTAATATATATTTTTATTATGGTATTCTTTTTGTTATTAAAACACAATTATTATAATATATCATTAATTTTTATAATCAATAAATAATTATCATTTGTAGTATGTCCGTATACCTAAATTACCAGTATCAAGTGTAGTTATCGAGATAATTTTGATACACATGTTTTTCTCTTTGATAATCTTGCAAGTTTTTCCTTTAAAATCTTTTTATCGATTGGGCATCTCACTTTTCCATGCAACACACCCGCGTCTTTGTTCGAATCACTGACAGCTTGCCTTGTCTCTGCATTTAGCGCCCCC